GGTCGTTCAAACTATATATAAGTATTTAACATTTGGGCATCTATATTTACATCATCAATTTTTCATTCTGTCTTTCTCCCCCTCCACACATGCTCTTTCCTCCCTCATTTCCCCCTCCTCACCTTAAGCATCATCTCTGGTACTAAAGTTAGAAAATGTGAATAAATATGCTTATCTATCTTGGATATTGTTGCAGTCACTTATTCACTGAAGATAACACATCCGACACTACCATCTCTTAAACAAACTAACAGTAGGCAAGCTAAACAGCAGCAGCTGGTTATAAGCTAACATTATTCCAGCTAATGTAAGGCTCAAGCGTCTTGCAAATTACACTCTCCCTCTGATAAACAGCTTGATAACATTCTCACATAGTTATTCACCAAGTGTCCCTGTAAAACAATGTTTAATCTATTGTTTCACTAAGTTCAGCAAACAGTGGCAAGAACATCATGATTACGAACAGAAAACCCTGGACACGAGCTTCACTGACTCATCGACTCTTATTGGACTCCTTTCACAAAGTTTTGCAGCTTGTTCCAGAAACAAATAGACATGGGAAAGTGGTATATTGACAGCTGAGGTAGACAGCGAAGTGACAGGCTGCAGTGCCAGCTAGAGTTGTTTGTCCCACATCAGCCACTGTAGCTAGGTTTATACACTTGAATTGGGAGAGGTAAGAAAACACAATTCAATTGACTGCAATCTGAAATCTACTAATATGGTGAGATTTACACACTGTACCTTTAAAAAAATCAGAAAGAACTACATATATGTTAATAATGGTGCTGTGTACTTTTTGTGGCCTAATGAAATTACTCCGTGCACTCCATTGTACATCATTTCTGCGCTATCAGGGAAACAAATAGGGGTGACTATTACAGCTGCACAGAATAAAACAAGCTTTCACATCTGTAGCTCCAAAATGACATAAAATGACAGTCTTACAGAGAAAGACTCAAATCTGTGCACTTTTTTCACCGGCTTTGGAAAAGGCCACACTTCTAAAGCATTATGGTGATGCAGAAGATGAAAGTTAGACTTAAACAGGACTAAGGCAAGGAAAACTGCATGCACGCATGCGCACACACACACAGTCAAAATACAAGTAGGGATGTCCTGCAGGCTGCCATTTCTGGCTGTCATTCCATCTGAGCACTGAGGCAGAAGGACAGAGAGCGAAAGAGAGACAGGCGAGTAGAGAAGACAGGGTGGTGAAGGGTGGGGGTGGTGACACAATGAAGGCTCACAGGGAGACAGGAAGCAGACGGTGCAAATGAGGCCGGGGACTTTAATGAACTACGGCACAGTCAAAGCTGGCAGAAAAAATGGAGGAAAAGAGAAGAGAGGGGAGGTCTAATTACCAACACATGTGTTTGCAGAGGTACACACAGAGCCAAACAAGCCAGCCCAACCTAATACCTCTAATGGTATTCTAGTAAAAATATTAAAATACTGGTAATGCCAAACTTTTACTGATTCTATTTAAAATGGTAATGGCATCATAACTAGCAGCAGATGACAAAAAAAGCAGGGTGAAAAACAAGGGCCACTAAAGGTATAGCAATGGTGACACAGGGAGAGTCACTCACTTTGTAAATACCCTGAAACCACTATTTTGTCTTCCTGGTTGTTTTCCACCACTGTGATTTGGCTAGCTACGGATTCCTAAAAACCTTCCTACATCTGTCAAGCAAAAAGTATTGGGCACCAATTTGGTATCACGTCAGCCTACAAAAGCTCATGCAAACATGCTAAGTATACAAGAAAATAGGTCAATTAATTACTTTGGGGTCATACACAGCCAGCACTAAGACCCCTACTGTTTCTGATGCTACACAGCTATTCTACATCACTGTCATCATCCTTGTGGTCACAGTAATGAGTATGTCTTAGTAGCAAGTCAGGGTCAGCTGTGGGTCAACCAGCTGGGGAGTGAGACCCTCACAGTAAACAACCATCACTCTTTGAGGCCAGTTATTCTTTAATCAGCCATGCAATCATCGTCATTCTTCAAGAGATGCTTCTGTCAAATTTGACACAATTAACCAGATATCTTAAAGGAGTATTAAGGAAAAACACATATTACTAATACAGCAGGTATTAGGATGTTAATCCATTTTAGATCAATAAATGTTGACAACTAGTATATTAACCAACAGGCTAGCTATACAATTTCCCCACCCCTAAAACTTTTTTCCATTTGTACCAGGAGAATGACTTCATCCAGCATAGAATGATTTTCCATGCAGCAGGAATGACAGAATAAAAAACATGCAGAAATAAGTGTATTGATATAAAACTGCTGTAACATAAATGTGAAGTATCTCAGTTATACAGTCAATTGGGTTAAAAACCCAATTGAAAAATTACAACTAATTTAAATAAACTCTACCTATTCTGCTAAGATGAGTGGCAAATTACCCAGCCACAGTTATGCCTTTTGGTTGCCGATGGCTACCAAAAGCATCTGGTCAAGAGGCACCTTGCTAAGAGACATTTAACCAAATATTAGTGGGGACGTAAGTATACATTTGACTCTGTGTGGATTAGAAAATATCAAAAATAAATTCTAACTTGAAATGTATGTTATCCAATCACCTCACGCTGGGAAAAGAACAGCTCAAAAAAATAATTAAAAGTCCAAAATTACCATAACAATTACGGATATGATGTGTGTATGTAAACTTATGACCACAACTCTAAATCCCAAAGTACGTGTAATACTGATACTGAACCAACATGTATCCTAGAGTTTTAACACTTTGGAACGAACCACTATTTAAGTATGGGCAGTTTTTGAAAATCTAGGAAAAGGATTCTGCAGGGCCAAAGAATGTTCAACTGAAGTTAAGAAGGGAAAGTCAGGAAAGGGATACATAATGTAAAACAAGGACCAAGGAGGATCAGATTGAGAGAGAAGGGAGCGAAGAGCAGCAAGAGCAGAATGTAGATTTAAATTCTGAAAAAAACAGACTGTATTTTAACATCTTTTTTTTCCCCATATCTTATTCATCAACTGTCCAAAGAAACCAGAGTGAGATATAGGACCAGATGATTCTGGAAAGATATCTCTGGACGACAACAACCATTTTTCAATAACTAATGTCAAAACAACAGCTTTCTGTTCTTCTATAGTTCACACACTTGCAAATGCCTTTATTCCTCAAACCATACCAAGTTAAGGCAGACTCTTTACACATGTGCTGCGTACTCAAATGTGATTAATCACATTGAGTAATACAGGACATTCAGCTATCACCACATGAAACAGACATCCAAAGGTTCTTCTGTGTTGTGAAAAGTGTGAATGCCAAACAGCTGCAGCAAAAGAATGAACAAGAAAGGCATTATATCAAGATGTAAAATTTAGCTGCTCTGGAGGTGCTCAAAAGAAAAACCGTCTGTCAGGAAAATAATCAAGTGGACATTAACTTACTAAACGCCTCGCTTTCACTGTTTCTGTTCTAAAAAGACGACAGAAAATGTAACATGATAGAAAAAATATGGGCTATTATACCAAAAGCACAACCTTTGAAGTGTGTGTGTGTATATGAACTCCAAGGTGCTCAGAAAAAAAAAATTATACATAGACATTCACATATCACTTAAAGTCACTTTAGGCTGTGGTCCCACTTCTAACCCCAAGTCAACAAACACACATGGAACTCAGTAGAGAGTGAGCGAGATGGAGCAGGGAGAGGCCACTGGTTATTATGCTTGGACACAGGTTCTGTGCTGTTATATTCTTAAGTTTGGACTGGGCCTGGTTACAGACACAACTTCAACCACAAAGCGTCTCTTTAATTGGACCAAAGCGTAACAAAGTCCAGATGGCTTTAATGGACAATATTCACTGGAGGACACATTCCTCTTAGTCTTACTCTGCATCTGTGTCCTGCTTTCTCGCTCACACATATAATGCTTTTTGTTTTTTATTCTTCTACACTTCTCATCACTGTTCTCCCCCACTGTTAATCTTATTCTGTACCAAGATCATAATAACTTAATAACTTATTAATCATCACAATACTATGGGGGTGGCTGTAGCTCAGGTGGCAGAGCAGGTCAGCCATTAATCAGAAGGTCAGTGGTTCGATCCCAGGCTGCCTCCTGGCTGCATGCCAAATATCCTTGGGCAAGATACTAACCCCATGTTTGCCTACTGGTGGAGGTCAGAGGGCCCGGTGGCACCAGTGTCCGGCAGCCTCGCCTCTGTCAGTGCGCCCCAGGGCAGCTGTGGCTACAATGTAGCTTACCATCACCAGTGTGTGAATGGGTGAATGACTGAATGTAGTGTGAAGCGCTTTGGGGTCCTTAAGGACTAGAAAAGCGCTATACAAATGCAGGCCATTTACCATAACAATTCCAGATCTTGCTGATACCTCCCCTCTTACTCCTCTTTCATAATGAAAGAGATTACATATTGGCAGTTAAGTTGTATAACCAAATCAAGGATATTTCAATGAATCACTTACTTAAAGGTTTTTTTAATATTTTGGTCCTAAAAAATCCTTGGGTGTTTTCTAAGAGTAGGAACCATGAGTGCAGTTAGCCTTGGCTTAGCCGAGCAGTGTGGCATGTTTTTTGCAAACACCATAGAGAGGAAAGACAACAGACAAAGTTAACTTTAAAAATAGTCAGAACAAATACAGTTGCAAATATGTATTAAACTTTGAATTATTTCAGCACCAGTTCTATTCAATTTGTTTCTGGTGTTACACAGATTCATAAAGCTTGAGCTTCACTTACTACTATGTAATTTTCCTTTCAGAAAAAAACACATATCTTGCAAACCATCCAAAAATATCTAAAGGTCCACAGTTTACAGCCTTCTGTTACTATTTAAGATGCAAATCTTGCAAACCCAAGAAACATTAAACTGTGCAATAGAAGTCAGCCCTCTGGAGAGTCATCTATCAGCCATCTTTTATAAGCATTTATTTCTACTCAGGATAATAAATAATTTACGAACTATTCCAAAGTATAGTGGACCTTACCAATAGGACACATCCAGCGGGTGAAAATACCGCCGGGAGATGAGGTCAGCGAAGAAGGACTCTGTTTCCCGACATGCTGTCCCATTGCCAATGACAACCCTACTACAGCTAATATGGACAAGATGAAGAGGAGAAAACTGAGGATTAAGAAAAAAAACATCAACCTCTGAAAAACTGCAACTGGGTTTTGAGTTCCCTCCAGATTTTAATAATATACAGTTCAGTGGACTTTATAACACCAAGAAAGCAGACAAATACACAATCTGCACAGAAATACTATGATTAACAGTGACTCTTTAGTTGTAATACCTGTATTTGGTCATAAGGTGGCGTAATTTCTCTGCTTCCCTTGGTTGGTTTGAATTATGCAGGTACACAACATCAGTTTGGAGAATCTGACCTTGGACAGATAAAAGTAGCAAGCGAGAGAGAGAGAGAGCGAGAGAGAGAGAGAGAAATTACAATATTGCTGATATGTCACTATGATGACAAGAGGAATTTAACAGACAAAGATGTATGCTATAACGTAATGTCTCTTCCCTCTAAGTTGAGTACACAACCTATAATCCATCCAAGCTGCACCAGAAAGTCAGTCACTTCACTGCTTCATTAAAAGAGAAGTTTAGATCTGAAGCTGTGAAATGATGTGAGCCAGGAGACACAAACCTGTGACCACACCACACGGTATTTGATACTATTTAAGTGTGCCAGCATGACTTTTGGCCACACAACTGGTAACCCAGAGGGTGGGGCAATCCCTTGCCAGTTTGAGGACACAACCACTGAGTGACATGTAAAAAAAAAACAGTAAAATGGACACAGCACATACACATAGTTGTGTGCACACAAAAAAATAAACCCACCAGGTTCATGCCAGCTCTATCAAATCTAGTGGTGCCTGGTTACACGGCAACCTTTCAGACAAAATCTTTGGCTTCATAATTTGCCCAGTAACAACTGGAAATGTGTGCCATTGCTATGTATATCCAGGTTTGAATTATCAATAGCAAAGGGAATTAAGCACAAGTGTCAGAAACCACAAGACACAAACGAGGGAAATAAAAATTCACTAGTCATAAATTTGAAAGGACACTTAAAAAAGTGTGATAAAATACAGTTGGCAAAAGCAATGACTTGAATTTATACTTAGTTATTGTATTAAAATATGACAATGAATTGCATTAACTAAAAACAAACCATCTTGGCACAGCTGTTCTCCTGAGATACAATGCACTGCAGTACTCAAAACTTTCAAAAGGTTTAGGGTAAAAGGGTAAAAATACAATTCCCTTTATAGTTAATGGACAAAGGTGCTCTTTGGAAAGGGCTACAATGATTACAATCACAAAAAGCCTTTAGAGATGCTTTTTGAGCAGCAAAAATGGATGTGGCTCATGGCTTTGTCTCCCAGTCAGATAACGACTCAAAAACATTTGTTGCTCTACATCCAGTAGACCGAAGTCCAGGACAAAGCCCTGATTTGAATCCCTGGGTAAATCTGTGGGATTCTCCGATTCTAAATTGCCTTTATATTTCCATCTTTCTTCAACATCAATGTGATTTCATCATATCTTTAGCAATAAAATGTATTTTTAGTATTATTTGTGTAGGTACATGAGTATGCTTTTTATACACTGACTTGCAAAACCAAGAGATAGCTGACAGTGAGTCCACTTTTGTACATTTTAGTGTTTACTTACTAGTAGGTGAGAGAATTGCCAGCTTGCAGCCATGTCTGAAGCCAGGGTCCACCCCCATGATGACACAGCCTCTCACTGGACACACCAACAGGCGCTGGCGGAGGTTGCGCACAAACATGGCGATTGACTCCTTCTCCGCTGCACTCGTCAGCTTAGTCCTAAAGAGAGAAAATGCAAGATAGAGACAAATAGATAAGTTAAAGAAGAGAATGACAACATCAACAAAAGAGAAACTGAGAAAGGATCAAAAAAGGATCATGGTGTAAATGGAAAAACTGATATTGGATGAAAAAACACTTTAAAATCCAAAATCCACTTACCTGTAACTCCTGGTGAGGAAAGGAAGAATAAGCCTTTTATATGAATCCTCCACTGCATTCCTAATGATTGCATGAAGTTCTTCTTTTGCAAATGTCTTTGGCCTCCACCTGCATTAAAGCAGTGGGGGTAAAGAGTGCGTACTTCTGCAAGGCGTTTCTACTGCTTAACGTGTTTTGTCAAAGCAAATGTGCCTTTGCAAACTGACTCTTGTGCTCCCAAGAGATGCTTTGCAAGTGTCATCAAAAACCCAATCTGTACAGAACCTTTTATTATAGTTTAAACCAGGTGGAGTGTTCTGCTTGTCATATTTGGTGGCACATAAGGAAACTACTCCTTTAATCATGAGAAATACGTCTTATCATTAGAGTAACATTTTGTTACCTTGCTTACAAGATGCCTAAGAATATATATTTAAAAATGGATAGCGTACTTTACAAATAGTACTTACAAACAACTGCTATTTGCTTCTTTTTCTATTTTACTGATTATTTAAATGGCTATTTCAGAGTGGCAAAAAACAGAATTAGCAAAAGTTGCTGTTACCTAGGAAAGTGCTGTGCTACTCATGCTTCCCAAAACTAATATTAAAAAAGAATACTAAGAAAATATTCAAAATTATGAGAATTGTTGCTTTACTTTTTACAATAATTTCTCAATGTAAAATCTAATTTAAAGATACCTGAAGCATAAGTCAAAAATAATGAATGGATTGTATTAAATTTGGAGTATTAAAAAAATATTAAATTTTCATTTTTGTCCTCTTAAAAAGCAATAATGACTCTCCAGCCATTTCTTAGTATTTCTATTATCGACTTCAGCCACAGGCAAAAACAGCCACAATACATACAGCACTGGTATCATATGTTCAGTTTTGTGCCTTTTGTACAAAAATCTTAAAGTCAACAACAGATGCCACACTTTCTGCCTTCTACAGTTCCAGTTTTGTATTAAAATTTTTAACAAAACATCATATGATCATGGCAGACACAAGTGTCAGTGAGTGTAACAGTGTTTGTGTATTTCTTGTGTCTGACCTGTTGTTGATGCACCACCTAGTGAAGTCACTCTTCACCCTGTCGGGGATGTTCACCTTCACTGTCAAAATCTTGAGACTCTCCCCTCGGTTAATAGCCAGCGTCTGCACATATATGCACGCATGAATGCAATACATATATTTCCACCAGTTACCGCACAGACAGTTAAACAAGACTCGCTGTTGTCCCTAAAACCAGCATCCACTGAAATCATAAATATTCAGATTAATTTATGTTTCTATATGTGATATACTTCATTTGAAGTATGATAAATAGCAACGGCTAGCAGAAATATTTTAGAAAAATGTATATTTTATGTGTATATTTTGTTTTAAAACACATAAGGCTCTGTCGCTTTAGTGCATGAACACGCTTTACTCACACAAACATACAAAAAAGAGAAAATCTTTGAAATCTCAATACACGTGCGTTAAAAGTGATGAGCCTAGGAGTATATCCCGTGGCCAGGCCTGTTTTGCTGTGCGGTCGTTCCCCCCTCAGAGGAACTGTTACATGCTGTTAAGCAAACAGTAGTAAGTGTCTGACCTTTTCAGTGGGGAACCTTTAGCCTGCCATAGAACAGGGCCAAGAAACAAAACGTCAATCTGGAGCCCAAGCGGAAGAAGCAAGCTGACAAATGCCACCACCATGCCACCATCAGCACTGAGACCGCAAGGCCTTCCCCCCACCCGCACCCACACAGTGCCACAACCATTACCACTCAGCAGCACCCTCGGAAGGGATGCGCCCATGTTCAACACACACACAAATAAAAACATAAAACACAGCTAATGGCATGGCAGAGACACGGATTAATGCAGCAAGTTTCCTTAAATAATGATGAAAGTTAAGATTTCTCCTGTGTTGACATGTTTCTCCCCAGGGCTGCCTCGCTGACTATGAAGAGATTTCTCAAAGAATCTTTATCAAAGAACTAAAGTTTAAGAGGTAGTCTAAAAAAAAAAAAAAAAAAAGGCAAAACACTTCCTTATCTTGGAATTTAGGAAAGCCCATGAGTGAAATTAAAGCAGTAAATACAAAACAAAGCCTTGTTAAATCTGCGCTCTTGGGCTTTAAGTATTTTGGGTAATTAAGAATGACATATACTTTTATAGTGTTATTCATACGACACTGTCTGGCATCAACATGTGTATCATCAACTAGAAATAAGAAAAGATTAATAAAGTTTTCAGAAATTCAAGAATTCATAACACTTTAAGTAAATAGAAGCTGCACAGATAAACATAACAGTCTATCTATATACACAACACTATAATGTATGATAAAGATATAATTCAAATATGTATTTCTTATAAACAACTGCAAAAATGCACAACTGTACCAGAATTTTAGCTGCTGCTTCTAAGGTTTTATTGATATCACAACCTAAATGGAGAAAAAAAGAAATCTCTCCACAGTGTAGTGGTTTACACATTCAACAGAACACCAGTTCAATTCCAGGAGAAGACACAAATTCCTTTGGTATTGCATCAGGAAGGGTATTTAGTGTAAACCCTTCGAAATCAAACATGCAGAGATACGTGCTGTGGCAAGCCTTGGTGAATAAGGGAGCAGCTGAAAGTAGCTTTCTGGAAAACAAACAAACACTAAATTCATCTTCCTTGTTGTTGGTATGTATTCCAAATTCAGCTATGGTGCCAACAAAAGTAAAAGATCTAAGTTCATCCAACAGCAATTTTTGTTCATGCTCAGGTTTTTTCTATAGCAGATGACGGTCCTCAGTGATGATAAACACCAGTGTCTGGTGCTTCTCTCACTTTCTCTCAGTTTCTATCTGAGTTGGGTCACTGATGGGACACACAGGGTGATCTGGAAGGAAGGGTGATGTGAGACAGAGTAAGAACTGTGTTTGTGTTTTAGATGGGCCCAGAGTGACAGGTAACCAAGTACTGGCCAAACCCTGACAAGAGCAGACAGACCGTCTCTTCTAGATGCCCCTTATTCCTCCCACCAGCCCTGAAGGGAGGGCAGTCAGCCAACAACTATACTCTGTCTGTCTCCTTCTCTCTCTCACCCTTTCTTTAGAGGAATACTGTCATCAACACATCTATCCATCCGACATATCAAGGATAAACAAACAGACACACATATTCAGTGCCAACTTGCAGACTTTTTGACTTTGTTGACACACACAGGACACATTGTATATGAGTGACGAATGTGGTTGTATAACAGCTGAACAAAGCTGTCAGTAGAATGCTCAATATCCCTATATAAGTGAAGGCCAGTAGGATTAGAAATACAAAACTGGGCATATAATGGTCTGGATAAACAATAACCAGTAAAGTATATGGAATAATAAAACCAAAGTATCTTTACACAGTTTGATTTCATTTAAAAAATACGCTTTGTAAGGAACACACATGGAGTTTCCCATTCTCACTGTCGCACAGTGACGTGTTCTCACTACTGGTAATATGTCGCTTGGTTTAGGTAAAGGTAGCGAATAAATACATTAGGTGCAGAGCGTGAGGGAGGAAGGAGACAGAACACCTGATGTCCATTCGTAATCACTGATTACACAGACTTTGTACTACCCAGGTGGCAAAATAACATATTTTATATTTGACACATGAATCTGATTCAATAAGCCGCAAGTTGTACAAAGTTATAAAATCCTCAGAGCATCTCGGGCATTAAAACCGTTACATAAACTCAAATATACCACATGTACAGTACGCACACACACACACACACACACACACACAATTTTGCAGTACAAAATATGAACATACAAATAATCTTGTTTTTCTCCGCCTGTCCATCAAAAACAAGTGTTTAATTGATAAAACAGTTCCATTTACCCAAGCTTCTCTGCAGGCAAGCCCCAGACTGGAGCGCTGAACTACCATTTGATCACAGCGCAAATCGCATTAAAAACAGCCCACTGCATGTTTAACAAATCTTCCCTGGCATACTCGAGAGCATAGCAGCTGCTAATAGCTATAAGGTAAACGTGTACCCTTCAAAGAAGGCCTCAAATCATGTTAGTCGGAATTAAATCTGAGCTAAAGAGGGCACAGCTTAGCCTGGTGTGTGGTGTGCTCTTACAAAACTGAGGAAGTTGGACAAGTGAAGAACAAAAGAAGTGGCAGGCGCAAAAAACTATCAGCAGATGAACAGTAACCGAAAGTCGTACCATTGGGAAACAGTAACAAGAGATTTTGAATGTCCTTCATGAAGCCTGGAGAACTATTCCTGGAGACTACATAAGTTTGCCTTAGAGAGTTCAGGCTGTGTTGAAGGATAAAATGATACCGACTTTTGAGCTTGTTGAAACTGTACAAATTCTGCTTTTGTCTTATATACGCTACAATAAATCACTGTACTTTTTCCCCCATTTTCACTCATAAGAAATCATAAGAAAAGTTGGATTTTTTGTGCCTGAAATCATTAGCTGGTTAACAAGACAACAAAAAGTACTGAATTACTCATTTATTCCTATAATTTGTTTATATTTTCAGCCCTTTTTTCAAGAAAAGTTGAAAAATGCCAAACCAAAAAGTTTCAACTTCTAAAGTTCAGGAATGCACTCTTTTCCTTCACTTTGTGTGGTCATAAAAATCAGTGACATGGATTTTAGAAGGCAGCACGAGAAAAATCATCCACCAAATCTGTTATTATGGATTCAGAATTAAACTTAGATGTCATTTCAAGCCCGTACTTTTGAATCAAGGTGAACACCTAATGTTCAGATGTTATCTTCTTGCTTAATTCTTTTCCTTAATGTATTTAACTTTGACGATGAATTAAAATGTACCAACACCAAAACCTAGAATCCCTTTTATGTGTTACTTCATTAAGGAGATTAAAATTCTGAAGATGTACTTTCCATGCTACCTAATTTTGTTTTCCACCACAGGAGATCTATACTTCCACACACCCTTAATACAATGCCTTGCACTTTATTTTTAACAAACTACCACGGCTGGGGCTTAATAAAAATGTGCTAAAGCAAACGGGCAAGTGTGTGCTCACACACATGCCTCCTGTCAAAACACATCTCCCACCTGCTCCCCCTAACTGCCAACTTGACGGCTAGAAAAGGTTCATATTAGCCGGAATCTGACAGCTCGCAGGGTCACAGCAGCCTGTGGATTAACGCTCCGTGACAAAGGCGAGTCATCGAATTAAAGGCCTTGCATAGAAAGGGGAGGAGAGGCGCAAAGCGGAGGTGATGAGTGGATTGGAGGGCTGACGTTTAGTCAGAAAAAGAGGGAGGCAGAGTAGAGCGAAGCAGGAGAGATAAGTGACGGAAGCACCTCAGCACCACTCATCTGTTCATGCTCTGCCTTCCCTTACTGCCCCCCACTCCTTCTCCCCGTCCTTTTGTCCGCCTGTGGGCCCAGCAGCAGTAGCTGTCACTACAGGAGAGCGCCTGTCAATCAAAGCTCCCTAATCCAATGGCATGTCGGCAGGGGACATGTCACATATGTTAAGAAGAGAAAATGAGGGGACTCACAGGGTGCGCTTGTGTGTGAGCAAGTGTGTGTATGCATGTGCGTATGCGATTAAATGACTGTAGGGCAGAGAGCGGTTGCCAGAGAGTGTGGTGTGGCAGAGACAGCAGATGATGGAAGCTGTGGTGACACATGAGGCCCGGGCCCAACTCTGAGTAACCCACCAGTCACTAGAGGGACAGAGGGGGAGCAGAGGATGTGGTGCAAGATGCAGGAGGGCTAAATATGAAGGCACAGACAAGGCTAACTGTGACTGACATGGCTAGCATTCAGAAGTGGCATGCATTAAGCAGACAGAAATGACACAAGCAGATGGTGTGCATTTGTTCATGTTTATGTGCATGCGTGTGTGTATTTGAGAACTAGGGTAGTCAAAACACACTCCACAGCTGTAAATGACCTTTATGATCATCAAGAAGACTTGACTTATTTGTTGCTTTTCAAGTTTATTTGTTTTGTATGTATTTTCTCTTATGGCTGGGTTATTACTTGTCTCATTAGTTATATCATAAAAGTAAAGGTGTTAGAAGGAGTAATTCCAGTTGAGGTAAAAAAAAAATGGCACAAGAAAAAGTGTGAGTCTCAGTAGCGTAAATGTATCTTACAAATAAAGCAAACTGTCATTCTTTTTGTTTGGTTTTCGCTGTGGAGCAATTTTAGCCACCCTTTTCCGCAGAATTGTTCAAATTGAGCTACACTGAAGGGTTTTTGAACATGAACAGCCTATTTAATGTCATGCTAAAGCCTTTCAATTGGACTTAAGCTTGGACTTTGACTAGGCCATTCAAAACCTTTAATTTGTTTTCTGTTTTTTTTGTTTAAGCCATTCAGAGGTGGACTTTCAGGTATGTTTCAGATAACTGTCCCACTTTGTAACCTAAGTGTACTTGAATTTCAGGGAACAAACTGATGGCCAGATATTCAGGATTCAGAATTCATGGTTTCATCAAATACAAGTCACCCAGGTTCTCAAGAAGCAAGGTAGTCCCAGAACACCAAATTTCTACCACTATGTATGCTTGTTGGCACAATATTCTTATTATGAAATGCAGTGTTAGTTTTATGTCAGATGTAAAAGGAGTGAAAACTCCCAAAAAGTTACATTTTTGTTTCATCAGTCTACAGAATATTTTCTCAAATGTCTGTGAGATTATCGTTTATTTATTTATATAGCACATTTAATTACAAGACCAACGTTAACCAAAGTGCTGTACAAAAATACCAAATAACTAGTACCAAATAACTTATAATATTAGTACCAAACACCAAATACCTCTCATACTGTATTAAAAGCCAGTGAATACAAATGTGTTTTAAGATGAGATTAAAAAGACTGACAGTAGTTGCCTGTCTGATGTGTAGGGGTAGATTATTCCACAGTTTAGGTGCTACGGACCCAAATGCTTGATCACCTCTGTGAACTAGCCTTGACCTTGGTATGGCTAAAAGCAAAAGCTCATTTGATCTAAGAGATCTAGAGGGCGCATATTGCTGCAAGAGGTCAGACAATTGCCCGGGAGGCTGTCCATTCAGGGGCTTGTAAGTCAATAATAAAAATTTTAAAGTCAATTCTGAAGTGAACAGGGAGCCAGTGAAGAGAGGCAAGCACCGGCAAAATATGTTCACATCTTTTAGTTCATGCAGCTGCAGCATTTTGGACCAACTGCAGTCTTGCAAGGCAGGTCTGGCCAAGTCTAACATATAAGGAGTTACAATATTCCAGCTGGGATGTAATAACAGCATGGATTACCCATTCAAAGTTTTTAAAAGACAAAAATGATTTCACCTTAAAAGCCTCAGTTTGAAAAAAGACCAATGTACAACTGACCTAATCTGTTTTTCAAAGGTGAAATTGCTGTCAAATATAACCCACAAATTTTTGGCATGCAGCTTAATAAAAGACTCAAGACTGCGCAGGTTAAAATGAGAGGTGCTGGGATTGACACTTGGTCAAAAATGATCACTTCAGTTTTGTTGTCATTAAAGTTAAGGAAGTTAGAGGCCATCCGGGCTTTAATTTCACCGAGACACTGAACTAAGGGCTCCAGTGGAGCAGGACAGCTTCTCTTCAGTTGAAGACAGATCTGAGTGTCATCGGCGTATGAATGGAAACAAATGTTATATTTTCAAAAAATTAGACCTATGGGCAGCATATAAATAGAGAATAAAATTGGCCCCAGTATAGATCTCTGGGGAACACCACAAGTAAGGGGAGCTGAAGAAGAGATAAAAGCTCCAAAGCTCACAGAGAAAGTCCTGTCAGATCGGTATGACCTGAACCACTCTAGTGGAAGGCCCTTGATGCCGCAATGCTCCAATCGTGAGATCAAGATGCTGTGGTCAACAGTATCAAAGGCAGCTGTCAGATCCAAAAACAAAAGCACAGCTGAGTCTCCTGAGTCAGGGACTAATAAAAGATTGTTAAGAACTTTTAAAAGTTCAGTTTCAGTATTGTGAATAGCTTTAAAACCAGACTGAAACCTCTCAAGAACATTGTGTCTGTTTACAAAAGAACTAATACAATCTTTTCCAAGATTTTCAATTGGAAATAGGTCTGAAATTTGAACGGACAGAGGAATCGGGATTAGGTTTTTTTAAGTAAAGGCTGTACATGTTTAAAACAAGCTGGCACAACACCTGAAGTAAGACTGCTGTTAAAAATCCTTAAAATGTCAGAAATCTTTTTTTAATGTGTTGGAACAACATCATTGGGACAAGATAATGTCTTCATGCCATTACATAGTTCCTCCACCTGATCAAAACACAGGCTCAAACTGATAAAAAACATCAGAGCAGGTGAATATTTCATGTGAAAGCAGCGCAATCATAAATCAAAGCTGTTTTATCTTATTGATAAAAAACTGCAAGAATCTTTCACAGGTTTTTGAGGAACTATTAATACGAGAAGCTGGGGAAATATTCAGAGCAGAGTGAATAATTGGGAAAAAAACCCTGAGGATTGTTGGAACTGTTCTCAATAACATTAGAAAAAAACACTTTGACTTTTCTGCTTTTACGATTTCCTGATACCTGTCTCTCAGCATGAGAAAAGACACCTGCAGCCTTTTTTCCACTTATGATCAGCAGGCCTGCACTCTCGTCTGGCTGAACGAGTGGTCTCATTTATCCATGGGATCGATTATGGTTTCAAGCTCATAGTTTTAAAAGGAGAAACCTCATCAAGGACAGCTCTGCATTTATCATAAAAAATAGATGTCATCTCCTCGGTACTAGAACCAGGGGGAGATCTTAAAACTTCTTTAAAAGCAATAGAAAATTGTTCTGTTGCAGACGGTTTAAACACACGACAATGACGTGTTGGAATAAAAGGTGTAAAATGGCAGTGAGATAAAAAATATATCAAAAACGACAGGACAGTGATCACAAGAAAAAGTGTCACATATTTCCGTGTTTAGGACCGGTAACCCTAAAGATTGCACAAGATCCAATGTATGACCCTGTTTCTGGGTTGGTCCCGACACAAACTGAGCAAGACTGAAGGAGTCTATCAAACTTAAAAAGTCTCTGGCCAGGGGATTGTTGTCCCTCGTGAATATTAAAATCTCCAACGATTAATATTTGATCATAGCTTGGCACGATACCAGCTAAAAAGTTTGAAAAGTCTTGAATAAAATCATTGTGATATTTTGGAGGTCTGTATACAGCTGCAACACGTGTTGGGCAGGGATGCCAAACATCAAAAGTTCAAAACCTGAATGAGAGTCAGTTAAGAGTTGTTTGCATGCGAGCTTCTCCCTAAAAACAGCCGCCATTCCACCACCACGCCCAGTCATCCTCGGCACGTTAAGAATTAATATCAGCTTTCCTAAAAATGAGTTTAATCACAGTTAATTCACGATTTTATAATGGGGCCAATTACTTTTTCACATAGGTTTAGGTAGCATTTTTTCCCTTAATAAATGAAATCATCCTTTAAAAACTCTATTTTGTATTTACTCTTGTGAAATGTATGTAATATTAAAATGTTTTCTGAAAAAGGAAAATAGTATTAGTAATAGCACTATATATGCAGTGCATCAAAGCCAAAATAAAAATATCCCAAACTCTAAAATATTCAAAGGACTTGAACTGATTGTTTGTTTTTTTGGTGGCTTGGCAGGCAGTTATAGCTAAAATGTAAAGAGAAATGTTTATTACAAAAGCACTCGAGCAAAATTTTAAGCTTATAATCACACTCCAAATGGTTACGCTTCTGCTATAAAATGTATTTGCACAAAACTTTTAAGGTAGATTGCAGACAATTCTTAAAAGGATAATTAAACTTCCTACCTGATGGG